TGAGGTGGCTTGCTTACAGTTTCGGAAGTTCAGTCCATTACCATCATGGCGGGGAGCCTGGGAGCATGCAGGCAGACGTGGTGCTGGATCTGACAGTCCTACATCTTCATAGGCAGGCAACAGGAAGTCGAGTGACCGTCACACTGAGGGAAGCTTGAACAAAAGAGACCTCAAAGCCCACCCCCACAGTTATACACTTCCTCCAACAAGGCTACACTTCCTAATAGTGCCACTCCCTTTGGGGGCGATTTTCTTTCAAACCACCACAACACATGTTATAATTCCTCTCTCATTGCTTCTGTGTGTTAACGTCCATGTGCCCATACATTGTGAATCCAGGGTAGATCTTAGCCTTCCATACTCTTCCACAATGTTTAGACAGTTTATACTTTTTAACTATTGTAAGATACATGGGTGATTTTTTAATCTTTTTTAAGTTGCTAAGTGATTTTTGTACACAATTGAGGGAAAACATTTAGTTTTTCTCTTTTGTTCCTTAAACATCTTATTCTCCAATTTTATAACATACATAGCCTGTTTTAATATTCTTGAATTTTGTTAACATCTGTGAGAGCCAAAGTTATGTTTTCAGTTTTAATGACTGTGCCCAAGAGACCCATAAAACGAAAATGCCTCTAACTTGTAAGCCCCTTTGCCCAAGGACAGATACTTCCTGAAATTCTGGAGGCTATTGTTTATGTAAGATAACTTGCCACATGTTTTTGCTCCCCTGAACAAATTTGTTTTACCCAACTGCACCAGATGTGCTTGATCACATGTAGAGAGGAGGTACAGAGACAAGAAGTAAATCAGCACAACTGTTTGCCTCTGAATGGACCTGGTGGGAAATATATAACCTTATGGGTTTGCCTTTATAAGCATCTGCAAAATGTGACTGGTCGCCATTTTCTGGGAACCCCAGAATGGACCTGGCCAGAGTCCACCATCCTGGCCAGTATTTATTTAAAGATTGCTTCAAATTTGGCTCAAATTGTGGTGGTTGTTTTCTTCTCGCTGGTGGGATTAACACATCTCCATAAGAGTGTTGCTTATGTCACCCATACTGACTTTGATTATACAATATACTGGCTCACACTAGTGGAGACCCATGAACAGTGGACTAACAGCTATGGAGCCCCCATGGGACTGGACTAGGCCCTCTGGATACAGGAGACAGTTGCTTGGCTTGAACTGTTTGGAGGACACCCAGGCAGGGGCATTGGGATCTGTCTCTGGTGCATGGGCAGGCTTTTGGGAGCCCAGTACCTAAGGTGTGACACCTTGCACAGCCTTGGTGCAGCGGGGAGGGGCTTGGACCTGCCTTGGCTGAGTGTGCCGGGCTCTGCTGACTCTCCATGGGAGAAGCTTGATTTGGAAAATGTGGGGATGGGGGGTGGTGGCTTGGGAGGGAGGGCTGCGGGGTGGGAGAATGGAGATGGGATCTGTGGTTGGTATGTGGAGTGAGTAGAGAATTTCTTAATAAAAAAATTATATATATACTGGCTCAGCAATCCCAGTGCTGAGAGTCAAACTGTGTGCCATTACTTGCTTTCCAAACAATCATCCAGCAAGTTTCACTTATTCAACTAACTGGAACCAATATGTCTGGTGAACTTATGCTTGCGTATTCCTGCCCCCTGGGTCGCTGCTTCTTGCTTTCATGCTGATGAATGCTTGCTTGAATGAGTTCTTTATCAATATCAGAATAATACTGTGTTCTATGATTTCTGGACCTTTTTTTCTTTTTCAAATATGTTCCCTGGGTTTTATCTGAACCTTTTGTTCAGTAGATTAGATAACAGATTAATTCTTTAATCTAAAACTGCAACCCAAGCTATCAGGTCCTTGCTTTCACAATCAGTCTCTACGTGAGGCACTTCCTGGAGGTCTCTTAAAAGGAAAGCAGTGGGAGGAGTGGAGGTGAGCAGGCACAGGAAGCAATGTCATGTCAGGGTGATTCCACTGTGATCTAAGGGCTCTGCTGGGGGAGCAATCACTAAGAACACAGTGAGAACCACGGTAGCAGGGCCACACGGAACCCACAGTTAGTGATACACTACTTCCACTCTTTTCCTTTCCCTAAAAGCATGCCCCTCCTCTCCCCTCACCCTGCACACCATGCTCCCTATGGCAGATTAGAATTTAGGAGGAGATAAATGAAAATAAACTCTACCTGTCTTCCCTTCAGGACAACCCAGCTCTTCTGGGACCACACCCAGGCTCACTGAAGGGGTGCTCTTCCCTTCTCCCCAGGTGTGCCCACAGCACAGACCCCAGAACTCAGTGGGAAGAGATGGCAGGCTGAGAGCATTAGGGTGGTCTGATGACGGCAGAAATGTAGACTTCCACACAGGAGAGAAGCACTCACTTTGATTCCAGCTTACGTATTTCACTCAGTTTATGATGGCAGAGGACATTCCTAAGAGCTCATTGTGAGTGCAGCTGTGTAGCACCACCATGGGAAAGTCTCTGTAATGATGTACTCTGCAGAAACCAGGGAAGTAGAAGGGGACCATTGTGAGCATGGAGGCGGGAGTGGTGGTAATGAGAATAGTGGGGTAAAAGTAATCTGCAGGGGTAATAGAGAGCACAAGGAGGGCTCTAATTAGGGAGGGAGGAAGAAAAATAACAGTAAGGATGCCTGAAAATCTCATAAGGAATCACAGTATTAATGATCTTTCCAAAAATACAAATAAGTCAGTATATACACATACATAGTTTAAATTAATTTTTTCCCATTTGGGCTGACAGTTCTCTCTCCAAAAGCCATAGACCATCTAACAAAAACTCCAAGACCAGGCATGAGAAGCTCCCTTTTGAGTCATTGGTTGGGGTTGTCCAACTCCCAAAACATTATAGACTATTGCTAGTGTCCTTAGTTTTCTCCAGAGAGGTGGAGGTAAGTCCCTATTGCTGAAGACATCATACACTTCAGACACAGGGCTCAGAGACCCCTGAGCTGGAACTGATCTGAAAGCATCCTCCCTGAGGTCTCTTTTTCATGGTAACAAAGTAATGAGGCACCTAGGACTATGATGCCTATTAACCACAACAATGGCCAGAACGCAAAGATGGCCCTAAGGCTGCTGCAGTGGCACGCACAAATTGGTGGTCGCCAACAACTCTCTAACTGGACTCAAGAGCCACTCAACTAGAGAGAATCATGCCTGGTACTAAAAACCTAACCAACTACCCATGGCTAGTGAAGTCATGGATCTTAGAAAAGAATCTACAACCATAAATTTACTAAATCAGCATAATCCCTAACTACATTCAAAATATTTGTCCTTATACTCACAAATAAATATAGTCCTTACCCCACATCAAGGAAGCATCTCTTTGCAACAGAAAGAAAGCATTGCAGAAAACCACAACCACTCAAAATGCACAGTTGAGGAGTCCAGTCCCAACTGGCATCTCCAACAGAATTCTGTCACCTAAATTCCAGGGCTCATTGTGAAATCAGGGGTGGAAAGATGGTTAAGACACAAATATATAGATAGTTTGCTGTGAGATTGTATCTCCTAGAAATGTCAGAAGCTACACCATACAGTCTCACGAATGGGATGACCTAAACATAGGCTAAATAAGGACTACAATAATAGATAAGTCAAAGTAGATGGGGGAAATGAGGCCTCAATCCTAGACAAACAAATGTAGGCAACTAAGGCATGCTGAGATCAGGAGAAAGTGTTCCCCATGGAAGAGTACACTAGTTGGTTATCCAATACCAAATGCTCAGTCCTGAAAACATACATATACAAGTACCATTGCACAGGCCGAGCAGGTTGTATTAGTGTATTTAGGAAGTTATATGTATGTAACAACAGCTAATAAATAAACAGGCCATGTATTTGAAAGAGAGCAAGGAGGACATATCAGAGGACTTGGAGGAAGGAAAGGGAAGTGGGAAATGACGCAATTATATCATCATCTCAAAAAATATTTTATGAGAGAGACAAATGTATAAAAAAGTAGAGTGTAGAGACCAAAATTCCAAGAGAAATATGACAAACTTAATTTTTTGTGCCACCTATATCTTGCTTACCTATAGGTATATTGAACTGGGTATAATGTTACATATAAAAAACAATTTAAAAAACAAACTAAAAAACAAAAAAGAAGGCTGAGCAAGCATGAGAGCAAGCCACTAAGCAGGGTTCCTCCATGGTCTCTGCTTCAGTTCCTGCCTCTGGGTTCCTGCTAGAGTTCCTGTCCTCGTATGATTCATTATAGATTATAAGGTATAAAATGAAATTGTATCATTCATTATAGATTATAAGGTATAAAATGAAATAAACCCTTTCCTTGCCCCAGTACACACACACACACACACACACACACACACACACACACACACACACACACACACCAAAAAAAAAAAAAAAAAAAAAAAAAACAAAGAAACAGTTTGGAGGGGGACTGAGCCAATATAAAGTGTTGAAGAGCATTGGGCACGTGTCAATAATTATAATTATAAACATCCTGTCAGCTTTCAATGCTGATGTGTCTCTTTTTTTAATCTATTTATTTTTTATGTGTTTATTCTGCAGTGTTCAGGACTAAAGTGAGGGCCTCACTATTGCTAGGTAAGGGCTCTGTCAATGAGATCTTCTACGGACCATTCAAACTTCCTCTCTTCGGATCCTTTTTAAAGCCATTTCTCCCTGTGTTCTTCTGCCTCTGAGTTCACGCCTTTTCAAATAAAAACTCCGTGGATGAAGGCTGTTCTGAAAATACAGGTTCAGAGCTGAGTCTGTGGTTATTTCAGTGATGTGTCTTAGAAGGGGTTCCATGCTGGAGAATGAAGGCATGATCAAGTCACGGATATTTTTGCAGCCTGAAGTCTCTTCCCCACTCTGAACTGAAACATGTTCTAGAAGTACAGAAATCGCTCTGTGGTGTTCTGAAAGTACAAGGGAGCTTTTCTGGGCATGCTCTGATGTTGTGTTCTTACAGAGTTCAAGGGAGCAGTACCAAGACCCCTACTGAGCAGAGAACGAAGCTGACATTTACAGATAAGAAAGGTCATTGCCTTTCATATCTTCAGGCAAAGCCTGTCAGGAAATATATAAAGGAAAAGCTCAGCTCAGCTCTCAGCCAAGGCCCTTCCTGGCAAGATGAATCCTACCGGCTTCTTCCTCCTTACAGTGCTCCTGGTTCTGGTGACAGAAACAGCTTCAAGGAAAACCCGTGGTGAGTGGCAAGTTTGTTCTGCAGACAATGGTCCTGGAAGGGTCCACCTGGAGTCTGCAGAAAGCTGTGTTCCCAGGGCTTCTAGCCCTGATGGAAACGGAGTCTTTTCTGAGTCTTAGCCGTCAGTTTTATGTGAACATCAGTGACATGACAGTCAAAGTGTCAGTAATGAGGGCTGCAGGGGAATGTGGGACATCAGGTGGCACGAGCATCCTCACTGTCATCTCTGGGGGAGTCAAAGGGGCCATTTGACAAGTAGATCATTCCAATTTCTAGCTAGACTAAAAGATCAAGAGCTTTATAGACAACAAAACAGCAACAGGGCACATCTGAACACAGTCCACAACCAGAGCTGAAGCATGGGCTCTTGACAGTGTCCTGATGAACACCTAATCCAGAATACAGGGAAAGATGGACATAGAGAATCAGGCATGCTTTTCTCTCCACAGAAAAATTCTCACAAGCATTTGAAGACCACATGGATCTAAAGGCACTGGGGGACAGCGGAGGATCCAGTTCTTCCCACGATGAGTACAGCCGCAGTGAGAGCTCATGGAACTCCTTTAAATCGAGAAGTCCTGAACCCGCCTTCAGTGAGGAAGTCTATGAGGAGAGGAAGCATAAACACACTTCTGAGGGCGGCGATCTTGGTTACAAGACCAGAGGATCTCAAAGAGAAGACATGAGCTCTTTCAAAAGCAGAATGAAAACCCGGATTGCTGGTAAATAATGTGTCCACTGGCAGCTGAAGACCTGGACCAATATGAAGGTGAGAATATTACCAGGTGAGGGAGAGGCCTGCCTCAGGGTTTCCAAGTTATGCATGGCTATTCACTGGGCCATTGTGAGACTGACTGATCCCCACTGTGCATACCTGGGGAGCTTTGGGAAACTGAGGGAAACACCTGAGCTATGACTGTGTCCTGAATTCCTACCCTTCGGGTGTAGCATTAATGGTTTTCCCCTGTACAATCCAGCAAGTGATAAAATTGAGTATGTACCACCTGCACAAGCATATGTATAAGCTTGTGATAGAATCTCGTCACTTCTTGTGTTGTGCTTGTAAAAGTTAATTTCATGCTTATTGTGGCACAAAATAGTGCAGTAGACCCAATCTCCTCGTGTCTACACAGTAGCCCCGCAAGGAGCAATTATCTCTTTCAGAGGCCATGTCGCCACGAATTAGCTTCCTCTTCCCTCTCAAAAAAAGAAAGACAACTGCCCTGCTTATGGCACACTAGAGATGAAATACAGCAGTAAGCTGCAGTAAAGGGAACCACAGAGACCTGAGACCTACACCAAATGTCCCCTGTGCCCTTCTCTGTCCTACCTCACAGGCTGACCTCTCCTTCCCTAGGTGCCACCGAACTGAGAGAAGCCTGTGTTATCTTCAGGATGCAGACTCCCACAGGGTCCCAGAAACAGCCATGGATTTCACTTCCTTCTCACACTTTTTTTTCCTTAAGATTCCTAAACCTGACAATATTCAAATTCAACCTTTTCAATTAAAAAAAAAGATATCATTCTGCATCATTATCTCCTGAAGTCTCCTGCTTTGGGGGCATAGGGGCTGGGTGGGATTCCTGAAATTAACAGTTCTACAAGTAAATAAAGTGACCTTCTGTGTCAGTACAGTGAATCATATTCAAAGACACATTTCCGACGTTCTGGATGGAGACCCATCATTCAGTAGAAGTGCCACCAACCCTAATCCCTGCCTGACCCTCTTCTCAGTGGGGCCTTAAACTGGCAACCTAGGATATGTCAGAGAAGACATGTCCCAATACACCGCTGAGAAGCCCTCATCAGGAGCCTTCAGGTTCACCAGTCCACAGCAGCACATCCTTAGGGTTGGTTCAAGAATCTTGCTCATTGAATGGCTTCTTTTAAGATTCAGCATCCTCAGGGGTTGGGGAGATGTCTCAGCACTTGGGATCACTGACTGCTCTTCCAGAGAACCTGGGATCATTTCCCAGCATCTACATGCCAGCTCACAACTGTATGTAATTCTAGTTGCATAGGATCTGGTACCCTCACACAGACATACATACAAGCAAAACACCGATGCACATAAAATAAAAATAAATAAACAATTTTTTAAAAACAGAAAAGATTCAGTGTCTCTAAGTGTGGTACAAGAAATGTCTACTGCTTACACAAGTGTGTGTTAAACAATACCATCTGTGGAGAGACACACCAGAGGACCAGCTGTAATAGGTAGAGAGGGTGTCTTCAAGTGCAAATCCTGATGCTCACACACCTTTCTTTGAGTATTTAATGAGGACTCCAGGGCGTAAATCTCTCAAGAGCAGAAATAAATATGGAGAGGGAAGACAACACAGGCCTATAGACGGGAGGTTTGGCTTCCAGTCCCACATGTGAAAGAACAGACTTATCTCTAATCAAATCATTTTTTTAATTAGATCTCCAGGGTCTACATGGATATAACATTAGTATATTAATTTCAAACCTCATTACAGCATCAAGGATGACACAGACAGAGGCCAGGACACTTCTGTGATTCCACAAACATCACTGACAGATTCTTAGTCAAGGACATGCTTGATCTTTGTGGAAAGAAGAGAGCAATTCTGAGTGTGAGCAAATGGCAACTGATCTGCCTGTGATATTTTGAGAACAGGGTCTCATGCCCAGAGGACAGAGCCACTGCACCGGGACTCTGGGATTGTAGTCATTTCTATATTTACACATCTCTCACAGCTAGTAGTTCAGAGGTTTGGGCCATCACCTTGATGCACCCAGCAAAAAGAGCGCTGAAAACAGCATTCTTCTGCAGCTTTATGGGAGAAGTTTGAGATCTAGACCTGCTTGGGACATGGACACACATTTTCCCACAACGTCTTCAATTGGAATGGACACCTGTCCTGCGTCTGCTGCACAGGTGTGCTCTGGAAATACATCGCCTCCCTGGTGTCACAGTTGATAAGCTGAAATTCTTCTTCAGAACTGAAATGTCAGAAGGCGTTGATTTAAAGTGGGTGATGTTTGGATTTCAACGTGAGGAGGCTGAGGGAGACTTTGAATAATTTTAGAATAGATTAAGCACATTTTATTTCAGGGAAGAATGCTAACAGCTTCAGAAAGAGGGCAGGTTGTTACAAATTGAATAAGCTCTCTTTAAAATAGTTATTTTTAATCTCTGTAGCCCCCAATATGGGGATATGTGGAAAGGGGCCTCTTTAAGTACAGTCACTCCTAGCCAAGGATCCCCACCACCAACTCTTCACATTGACTTTCCCAACATCCTCTCCCAAACTTCATTTCTCCTCCTTTTTCTCTCCTCCTCCTTTTCTTCCCTCCTACTCCTCTTTTCCTCTTTCTTCTCCTCCTTCTAGCATTGAGTCCAATTAGTGCCGCTGGTATGCATGGGAATGTAGGACATCAGAGCCTGGAGCACGGCCAACTATTATAGGCAACACTGCTGAAGAGAGGAAGTGAATATCTGTGTCCTATTGCTACTGGATGCTGAGTGTCAACTGTGCATTGCTAATGGATGCTGAGTGTCAGCTGTACATTGCCACTGGATGCTGAATGTCAGCTGCACATTGCTACTGGATGCTGAGTGTCAGCTGTACATTGCTACTGGATGCTGAGTGTCAGCTGTACATTGCTACTGGATGCTGAGTGTCAGCTGTACATTTCAAGCCACTGTGAGAAACTCAAATGGCATTCATGTGACCCTAATCATGACAGTCAGACTAAGTTCATAACTCTGCCCTGACTTCTGACTTCCTCCCCAACATCACTCAGTATCAGAAGTGATTATAAATTGCTGAGATGCCATTTAAAAATCCCAGAAAACCTGACATACTCTAGCCTTCTGGTTTTGCTGAGGCTTATAGAAGAAGGGAAATTGCCAGCTCAGATATCCTCTCCACTATTGCTAGGTGTCTTAGCTGGGGCCATCCTTGTGGATTCCTGGGAATTTCCCTGGCACCAGGTTTCTCCCTAACCCTCTGCCCCCCCAAACTGCCTCCTGCCTCCAGTCTACCTGTCTCACTCCCTCAAGTTCCCACCCCACCCTCACCCCTACCCTACCCACAGTTTACCCAAGAGATCTCTTCTATTTCCCCTTCCCAGGGAAATTCATGCATCCCTCTTTGTTGTCTAGCTTCTCTGGGGCTGTGGATTGTAGTTTGGTTATCCTGTACTTTATTCCTAGTATCCACTTACGACTGAATACATACTATGTTTGTCTTTCTGGGTCCGGGTTACCTCACTCAGAATTATTTTTTCTAGTTTGATCCATTTGCCTACAAATTTCATGAGGTCATTATTTTTTACAGAAAAGTAGTACTCCATTGTGTAAATGTGCCACGTTTTCCTTATCCATTCTTTGGTTGAGGGACATCTAGGTTGTTTCCAGGTTCTGGCTATTATGAATAATGCTGCTATTAGCATAGTTGAGCAAGTGTCCTTGTGCTATGATTGAGCATCCTTTGAGTATATTCCAAAGATTGTGATAGCTGGATCTTGAGGTAGGTTGATTCCCATTTTTATGAGAAACTGCCATATTGATTTCCAAAGTGGCTATACCAGTTTGCACTGCCACCAGCAGTGGAGGAGTGTTCTCCTTACTCCACATCCTCTCCAGCATGAGCTGTCATCAGTGTTTTTGATCTTAGCCATTCCAACAGGTGGAAGATGGTATATCAGAGTTGTTTTGATTTGCATTTCCCTGATAACTAATGATGTTGAAAAATTCTTTAAGTGTATTTTGGCCATTTGAGAGTCTTCTGTTGAGAATTCTGTTTAGATCTGTACCCCATTTTTTAGTTAGATGATTTAGTATTTTGATGTCTTTTTTTTTTTAGTTCTTTATATATTTTGGAGATCAGACCTCTGTCAGATGTGGGGTTGATGAAGATCTTTCCCATTCTGTAGGCTGCCATTTTGTCTTATTGACAATGTCCTTAGCCTTACAGAATCTTTTCAGTTTCAGGAGGTCCCATTTATTAATTTTGTCAATCTCAGTGTCTGTTGTATTAGTGTTATATTCAGAAAGTGGTCTTCTGTGTCAAAGCATTCAAGGCTAATCCCCACTTTCCCTTCTATCAGGTTTAGTGTAACTGGATTAATGTTGAGGTCTTTGATCCACTTGAACTTTGTTTTGTGCAGAATCAGTTTGTATTCTTCTACATGTCTACCTCCAGTTACACCAGCACCATTTGTTGAAGATGCTTTCTGTTTTCCATGGTATAATTTTGGCTTCTTTGTCAAAAACTAGGTGTTCATAGGTGTGTGGATTTATACAGGGGTCTTTGATTCAATCCAATTGATCAACTTGTCTTTTTTTATGCCAATACCAAGCTATTTTTATTGCTATAGTAGAGCTTGAAGTCATGGATAGTGATGCCTCCAGAAGTTGCTTTATTGTGCAGGATTGCTTTATCTATCCTGAGTTTTTTGTTTTTTTTCATGTGAAGTTGAGTATTGTTCATTTGAGGTCTGGGGATAATTGTACTGGGATTTTGATGTGGATTTCATTGAACTTGTAGATTGCTTAATAAGATTGTCATTTTTACTGTGTTAATCCTACCTATCCAAGAACATGGGAGATCTTTCCATTTTCTGATATCTTCTTCAATTTCTTTCTTCAAAGACTTAAAGTCTTGTCACATAGATCTTTCACTTATTTGGTTAGAGTTACCCCAAAATATTTTGTTTTATTTGTGGCTATTGTAAAAGATGGTGTTTCTCTGATTTCTTTCTCAGCTCATTTATCATTTGTATATAGGAGGGCTATTGATTTTTTTTGAGTTAATCTTTTATCCTACCACATTACTGAAGGTGTTTATCAGCTGTAGGAGTTCCCTGGTAGAATTTTGGGAGTTACATAAGTGATGTACAGTATCATATAATCTGCAAATAGTGAAAGTTTGACTTCTTCCTTTCCAATTTGTATCCCCTTGATCTCCTTTTGTTGTCTTATTGCTCTAGCTAGGACTTCAAGTGCTATAATAAATAGATTGGAGAGAGTGGACAGCCTTGTCTTGTCCCTGATTTTAGTGGAATTGCTTTGAGTTTTTCTCCATTTGATGTTGGCTGTTGGATTGCCATATATTGCTTTTATATGTTTAGGTATGTTCTTTGTATCCCTGATCTCTCCAAGACCTTTGTCATGAAGGGGTGTTCGATTTTGTCAAAGGCTTTTTCAGCATCTAATGAGATGATCATCTGAGTTTTTTTTTTCCTTTCAGTTTGTTTATATGGTGGGTTACATTGACAGAGGTTTGTGTGTTGAATCATCCCTGCATCTCTGGGATGAAGCCTACTTGATCATGGTGGATGATCTTCTTTGATGTGTTCTTGAATTTGGTTTGCTAGTATTTTATTGAGTATTTTTGCATCATTGTTCATGAGGGAGATTGGTCTGAATTTTTTCTTTGATGCATCTTTCTGTGGTTTGGGCATCAAGATAACTAGCCTCATAAAAAGAATTTGGCAATATTCCTTCTGTTTCTATTGTGTGAAACAATTTGAGGAGTATTGGTATTAGCTCTTCTTTGAAATTCTGGTAGAATTCTGCACTGAAACCATCTGGCCCTGGGCTTCTTTTGGTTGGGAGACTTTTAATAACTGCTTCTATTTCCTTAGGGGTTATTGATCTATTTAAGTTGTTTATCTGGTCTTGATTTAACTTTAGTATGTGGTACTTATCCAGAAAATTGTCCATTTCTTTTAGATTTTCCAGTTTTGTGGAGTATAGGTTTTTGAGTATGAAGTGTTGATTCTCTGGATTTCCTTAGTGTCTATTGTTATATCTCCCTTTTCATTTCTGATTTTGTTAATTTGAATATTCTCTCTCTACCTTTTGGTTATTTTGGATAACGGTTTGTCAGTCTTGTTGATTTTCTCAAACAACCAACTCTTTATTTCATTAATTCTTTGTATTGTTCTCTTTGTTTCTATTTTGTTGATTTCAGCTGAGTTTGATTATTTCCGGCTGCCTACTGCTCCTGG